AAGAATTACTATGTGATGTGCAAAATGGTTTATTATACTGGATTCCTTGTACGGCAGTACCACTAAGATGAGAAAGAGGGAGAGATACCCCCCTATGTCAACCAATGGAAGAGCTCCGTCAGGAAACCTCTTTAATAACAGTTCGCTATTGGTCTCAGATATTTATGTAATGACTCTATATAACTCTATTTTAATGTTTAAAATTCTCATCTTTCTTCTTACAGAAATGTCAGTAAACCATATACCTGGACTGTTTATTTTCCTCATTTCAGGTAACACAAACCTACAAAGATTCTAAAACTTGCCCTTATAATTCTAATGAGTCAGGATGGAAAGTATCAAATATACCACCTGCCTGAAAACTCAGCTTTCCCTGGGAAGGAACTCAGCCCGGAGAGCATTTTGTAGATTATGATTAATCATTAACTAAATGTGCTTCTACGTTTCTGATCTCTAGCTGCCCAGTACTAAATAAAATGCACCACCACCAAAGAACATAAATAATATAATTAGATATGTATTGGAGCTTTAAAAAAAAAAATGTTTCTTAGGAATTAAAAGACAACACTTGTGAAGCACAGGGCAATGAAATTCCAGAAAGTTTTTCACAAACTTAAGGCACACCCTGTGTGGGCTATGGAAAGCTTTTCAAGAAGCAACTGTCAATCCTATCACCCAGGATAGCAGAACAGGATAAGCCAATGAAAACGTTCCTATGAAAGATTTAGAAATGGTTTGACATTACAAGCCTGCCAAAAAACCTGGATACAGAGCCAGTAATCTACCTTCAACAGGATAAGAAATGGGAAACCAGATTCATTTATAAGGAGGTTTAGCATTGGACTAATATGTTGACATTTCCTGGATCTGTTCCAGGAATGGATGAGAAAATTCTGGATAGGTTGCTGTTTTCTCCAATACTCAGTAATTAATAAGTTTATTATCAATTGAATTTTATGTGATAAACTCTTCAGAGCAAGAACCACACAGATTTATGCAGTCTGTAAACTCCGTAAAAATTAAGCACACTTTGAAAGTTATAATGGCACTAACAGAGTGAAAAAGTCATGAAAACACAGGACTGAACCAGGTCAAGTAAGGCTACCACCATTTTGAAATTCTGAAGACTGCACTGTCATGCTTTTTGGTGTGCCTGAATGATTACACCTCTGTCAAGTCATTCTATCTTTGACTTGAAAATGAATCTGTGTCAATTGGAGTTTACTTTAGAATTTTAACCAGGCCTTCAGTTCCATGTACAGAGAATGAACAATGTCTCTTGTTACCACAAATAATTAAAACTATTTTAGGAAAAGACACCTTTTTACCTGAGACTCTTTAATAAGTGAAATCAATAGTTCTCACCAACAACTCTTTGAGGGACAATCCCTTCTATACAAACAAAGTGCAAGTGTGTTAGGCGGAATGGGTAAATGTCATTGGACATTTACTGGACTACATGTCTACATGTCCAGAAATTACCTTTCACCTGAGATACTGCAGCTTCAAACAGAGGCCTTTTTGAGCTCCCTGGTCTCTTAACAGGCAGGGCTATTAGAAATACACACAAAACCTAGGCTCCTTCTAGAAGCCTGGAACCAAGGAAGATTTCTATTTCACTTCACCCATCCTGCTTTTTGTTTGCTTGTTTATTTTTTTGTTTTCATGCCTGTGCTTAAAAATGTGTAAGATAAGAAAACAAAAGAGGTAAAGAACTGATTAGACTGCCTCCTTAACCCAAACCAGGCAGAAAGAGAACTAATCAATATTTAGTACTTTGGACATATTGGCCCCAAGAAGGTCAACAATAGCAATAAAACAGAAAAGAATCCTATTCATCTTTATTTTTATCATCACTATTATTATTATTTGGCTCTGCTTGATTATTGCTTTTCTTTGGGGTTTTCCAGATAGACAGCCCAATCTGAGAACTAAATGTAATTGCTCTGTGCCCCACCAGAGCCCAACTATAATCCAGCCGCCAAGTCAAGAAAATGAAAATTCAACATTTTTTTGGCAACCTCTGCTTCCAAAATTTTATCTCATACATAGACTAAGTTAAAGTACTCTTTCATTTCAAGGGCCAATGTGAATTTTTAAACTAATTATTTTTAAAGAAAAAATAGCTTATCAAGAATGATGTTATTTTCTTTCCTTTTTGTGGTACATAGAATGTACATGCAACTCTTTCTTTTTTTTACATGCAACTCTTTGCTTAAGAATTAAGGCTGTTTATTTTCATTACACTCATCACACATACTTCCCACTGATATCAATGGGAGATGTATATGTGAAAAACAGTTGAAGCTAGAATATACTGTTCCGTACATAGCCTTGGCATTTACGTCAATCTAATCAATGGGCTAAATTGTCACAAAATTGACAGACAAATGCTATTTTTCAGGCAATCATTTTTCAAGTCTGTTAACTTGCTAAGCTGGGATTCACTATATTTACAGCTTATGTCTCCTCCATTCAAGTAAGCATTGTCTTTGCATTTTCAAAAGTAAGCTCTGGCTTGAGCTTGCTACCTCCTTCCAGGTAACGTCAGGATCTTCGACTTCCTTCCACCTGCGGGTGTGTTATAACCCGGGCGCGCACACCCCGAGTGCTCCCTCTCCCCCTCCGAAGGCCCACAGGGCAGCCTCGAGAGAACCTAACCCAAACATGAAAACTTTCTGGCCGCTAACTCTACTGCTCTCGCCTGCGATCAAAAGCGACCGGGCACCGGGAAAGGTACTGGCTTTTGTTCCAGCGTTGCCCAGCTGGCGAGGTAACGCCACCGCAGTCCTCCATCCCGAAAGGTCGGGAGAAATTGCGTGGTGCTGAGATTTTGGAGCCTCACGGAAAAAAGAAAAAAAAAAAAGCCTATTTTTACGCAATTCGTGCGTGTGGGGTGTACAAACACATGAAAAGAGGGGGTGGAGCAGGCAGGCATGAAACTGCCAGCGCCTTTCAAATTCTACTTCAGTCTTAGGTTCACAAAGTGAGTCTCCCCATATGTGGAAGGGCGCGAGGGGGCGGGGAGAGGGAGACCACGCGGACTGGGAGAGAAATAGGTAGGAGAAGGGCAAGCGAGATACTGTCGAGATGCAGGTCCGGCCCCGCCTCCGGGTACAATCAGAAAAGCTACAGTGTGTCAGTGGCTTTCGGCTTCCTGTTTGTAAAGCCAGAACCTCCCTCCCTGACTCCGGTGACAGGCGTTCTTCCTCTAAACAGAGTCCGCCTCTTCTTCACGCTCGGGGCAGGATCCGGGGCTGGGGAGTGTGGGGCGCGCGGGGCGCGGGCGGCCCGGGCGGAGGAGGCAGGACCGCGGGGCGCAGCGCCCCTCCCAGCCGGGCGGCCTCGGGGGCAGAGCCCGGCCGCCAGGCGGACAAAGCGCCTCCCGCTCCCTCCCCCCCCACGGCCACGCACCGAGAGGGAGGGGGAAGGCGGGCTAGAGGGATGTAGGAGGAGGAAGAGGAGGGGGAGGAGGGAAGGTGCAGCCGGCGGGACTGGGCAGGATTGCGCCGAGGAGGGTGGGGAGGAGGAGGGGCTGGGCGGCCTCGGAGAACGGGGAGGAGGGAAGGATTCCTGAAGCCCAAGATAAACAAATTGTTCCTCTTCACGTGCGGGGTGGGGGGAGGTGGAGAGGGTGGGGAGCGAGCGCTGCGGCCTCTCCTCTTCCCCTCCCCCTAGCCGGCTCTTTGTCACGGAGCGCCGGCCAGAGTGCCGGGCGAAAGCCCGCGGCCGCACTGGCACCACCCTCGGCGCCGAGGACTCCCAGACCCGGGATGTGCGCGATGTATAAAGCGCATACTGAGGGGGCCGCCCGCGCCGGGCGCTGCGCGGCCGATCGAGGGGCGGTCGGCAAAGGAAAGGGGAGACCGCGCGCGGCCGGGCCGTGCTCCTGGATTCCCACAGCCCGGCCCACGCCGCACACACGCGCAGCCCTAAGCCAGGAGGCGCGGTGGGGGAGGGGGGCTGCAGACACCTTTCCCAAGCTTCCGGCCTCCCCCCCACCCCCACCCAGAAAGGAGAGCAAAAGAACCGGAGAGAGGAGATAAGAGAAAGGATTCTACCCTCAGGGTTAGGGGGTGGGAACTGCCCCTTCCTCCGCGAGAAGTTAAGCCATTGGCTGCTCATCTACCTCGAACCCACCCACCCAGCCATTTAAGCCTCTTTCACCTCCCTGCTACCTTCCACTCCTCCGGGCTTATTAGACCAGCTTGGAAAGTTGGCGGGGAGCGGGGTGGAGGCTGAAGCCGGCTCGGTGCAAGCAAGTTTAATAGGAGGAGGAGAAAGAATTCCCAGCGGAGTTGCGTGGTCGGGACCCTGGCTGCAGGCCGGGGGCCTAGCTCTCCCTTGCTAACACCCGCCAGGCCGCTCCCCCCTGGACCCTCCCGGCCGCTCCACCTGCCGGGCCAGCCTCGGGGCTCTAGCGGCGAGAGAGCGCACCCGCGCCCCGCATCCGCGCGCGCTCCCGCGAACGCGCGCGCGCAGCCACCCTCGCTCGCTTCTCACCCACTTCAAAGTTCATTCACAAAACTCTCAGACTTTCTCAGCCCAAAGGGGGTGAGCTAGGGAGAGGAGGCGAGAACCTCTCCCTTCCCTCCCCACCCCCCCCAGGGGTTGAGGGCCTGGTGCCCGCCCAGAATCTGCGACAGCATCAATTTCTCCCTGCACCCGGCGGATGTGCTGAGAGGGGTGGGCGAAGGGGGACGGGTCTGGAAAGGCGAAGCGGCACGGCAAGGGGTGGGGTGGGGAGTCGTGAAGAGGAGGAGCGAGGTTTCAACTCTGGGTTCACTCTCTTTCAAATCCGTATCTAAGAAAGGGAGAGGGGGGGAAAACTTTTCCAGTGCCTCACTCCGGCTCTCCTCCAGGCTCCCTCCGCCCCTCGCAGTCGTGACTGGCTTCTCCCCTCTCGCCCCCTCTTCCCCAAATCTGACAACCCTGACAGATTAACAGGTAGCGACGACGGCAGCTTTTCCCTCAGAAAAGTTGATGTTAACCCTTCGGCTTCAGCCCATCTCGCCACCGTGCAAATCAGACACCCGTTCCCCCCATATAAGAAGCTCCACGCCCCCCCCCACGCGCGCGCCCCACGCCTGCTGCCAGTGCGCCCTCACCATGATCAGCGTGTGGTTCCTCTGCTCCGCCGAGGCAGCCTCCGCATCTTGCTGGGGTTTGCTCTGGTGCTGCTGCTTGCCCGTGCCGGCGCCCGATTTCTTGGCCCTCTGCTCCAGGGTCCGCTGGTAGAGGCTCACGGTGTCCCGGCGCTCCAGCTCCAGCTGCTCCACCTGAGCCTGCTGATACCTATTCTCGCAGTTGACGTGGTGCCGCCGGCAGCCCTCGATGCGCTGGCGGAGCCGCTCCACCACGGTGCTGTGCTTGGGGACCGCCGCTGAGCCGCCGCCGGGGCCCCCGGAGCCGCCGCCGCCGCAGCCGGCAGCGGGGTGATTGCTACTCGGAGCAGCGGGAGTACTATTGGGAGTATTATTCACACCGATCCCGGCCCCGCCGAGGCTGCTGTTCAGGCTACTGTTGATGCAAATACTACTGCCATTCGCGGCAGCAGCGGGGGCTGCGAAATCCCCCATCCTGCTCCCCGGGCACACTATTTTGGAAGAACTTTTTTTTATCCACCCCCCTATCAGCCTCCTCCTTGGGTCCAAGAATTAAAATAGTTTAAGTGGAACGCGGGGGAGACGCAAGCACATGGATGGAAACAGCGATCCCGACGGGGCGAAAAAAAGGGGGAGAGATTTTGGGGTGGGTTTTTTTTGTTTCCTTTTTTTAAACTGTAAAGCTCGAGGGGAAAAAAGGGGGGGTGTTATCAGAATACCATCAGACACCTAACAACAAAAAGAATCACAACAAACTGAGCCAGCAGCAAATCGGGTTGCAACTCAAGGGGAGATCCGCTCCTCTCCTGCCTTCTTTTTATAATCCATTATTTTCTAATAAATTCCAGGAGATTTCCGATGGTTGGCAAGCATTTTCTCCCTACGTACCGAAAAATACACCCCATGTACACACACAAGCATATGCCTCCAGTGCGGACACGCGCGACACACACTCACTCCACACCGCATCGGAAAACGGCAAGCTTGCTTATTGCATTTTCCTTCCACAAAAAAGTTTTGGTGTTTATGCCGCCCCGTGTTCTCAAAGTACTTTGGCTGCTCAGTTGCATTTCACAGGAACCTAGATATCGAATCCTCGGGCTGGGGGAAGTAAACACATGGACAGTCCGAGGCGACTGCAAAAGTAGATCGGTGAAGTCCTTTGCAAAACGCCGCGCGGAGAGCAGCCCCTAACGCTCGGCTGGGCTGCCGCTGCCGCCGCTGCTCCTGCCACCATCACAATGATCAACTGCTCGCCGCCGCCGCCGCCGCCGCCGCCGCCGCCGCCGCCGCCGCCTCCTCCTCCTCCTCTCGCTCCTCCACCTCCTCCTCCTCCTCCATGCCAGCGGAGTGATATCAGGACGCGCGAGCTCAGTAAACACGGCAGCGGCGGCGGCTGGAGGCCGTGAGACAAGCCGGGGGACACGGCGCAAAACCCGGCCCGGACTCTCACCCGGCAGGAGCGGGCGCGCACGCACCGGCACCCGGCTCCCGCCTCCCTCGCCTCGCCCTCCCCGCCCCTCCACGCCCCCAACCTCGCAACTACCCTGACTGGATGCCGAGCTGCCAGAAAAGAGAAAAAGATTCTGGGGGATCTCGGGAATTAATCAACTTTTGACCTGTGTGTGTGTGTGTGTGTCTCTGTGTTGTGTGTGTGTGTCTGTGTCTGTGTCTGTGTGTGTCAGAGTGTGTGCGCGCGAGCGTGTGTGTGTGAGCGCGCGCGCGCGCGAAGATGGCCGCGTGAACGCGCCTGGCTGGATTTCCTTATTCCAAGCGAGGTATCATGCAAGCCCAAGTTCTTGTTATACATTTATGCATTATATTGCAGAACTGTGCATGACCAGGCAGAAACGTTGAAGCTTCACAGAAGTTGTCTGTCATCCTTACCCATGTGGAAAGAAAAAGACAAATGAGTGACTCGTTTTTAAAACCCAGGTAATAAGTCCTTGCTAGTAATAACCCTGCTTACGGACACTTGTTCAAAATCTAAGCCAGTCTTAACACACAAATACCGAATTCTGAACAAAAAAGAAATAGGCACCAAAAAACTTGGAATTTTATTTAATTCGCTGTACATGATTGTTGTTATTAAGGCAATTATTGTTTTACTTACCCTTGGAAAAAAATTAAAATAAAGCAAGCAGGGACTTGGAGGTGAGACTAACAGTACATTTTAACAGACTGTTTTGAACACTAGGTGCTAATGACAGCAGTAATTAAGGGTCCTTCGTAAATCAAGTGGAAAGATTGCAGATTTCGTGGACTAGAACTATAGGAAAAACACAGCATTTCACAGTTTGTCATGACCAAAACAAAAACAAGCAGAAAAACAGGTTTACCTTATTGCTAGATGTATTTCTTTCTGCTTAAACGAATGCACAATAAGTACAATTAAAATGGAATAACTACCACAGAAAGCAATCTAAACTTTCCTTTATCTTTCCAGATATTGAATATCAAAAACAAAACAAAACTAAGGATCAAATATTATATCCTTGAACCTGGACTTAATTGCATATACATAATTTTTAAAAAATTTAAATGGAGAAACAGCATTTCTGTGATCATCGGTAGTACAAAAATCTTGATTGTGAACTATTAATAATAAGGCATTTTGTATTATCTCAATAAATCTTATAGAATTAGTTTTTAGGGTAAAAATACACCCCAGTTTTCTAAAATAGCCAGGAATAAAAGAACTTTGGATCTCATGCATTAGTCATGAGATCTGATTTAAACCATCTTCATTTCTTGGCATTGCAGATTAGCATAGGATGCTATTTCTAACCTCATAATGTCAGCAATAAGAAGCTATATTTTTCTTCAATTAATCAGGCCTATATGGTAAATTATATCTTTAACATCCACTGGATTATATGGTAAAATGGGCAGCAAAATATTGATTAATGTGGTGTGAGATTACCTCTAAGGAGTGAAACCAATGTGAGAGAGTATGTCTCGTTGAAGCTGCCATACTATTTCAGAGGGCTACTTAGTTAACATACAAGTTTCTGTATCATAACGGCCCCTCCTTCAAGTCTGTCAGAAAATTTAACTGAATTAGTTCTATAGCAAAAAGTCAGTTCAGATTCTAAAAACATAGAGGAAATTATTAAGAAAAAGACATCACAAAGTAGCCTTTGTCTTTTTCACACATTAACTAAATAATATCTGTTAATTCAGGAAACACATGGCTTCATTGCAGAGAGGAAGCTATGACTCTGCATTCACTCCATTCTCTCTTCACTATACTTTAATTCTTTAATTCTTATTCCTTCTCCTTCCAAGCAAGTACATCTCCCATAGAAGACTACAGTTTGATTTACAGAGGCAGCAAGTTTGAGGGTCTTGAGTACTGGGTCTTCAGTTTTGAAACCTGTGTACTAATGCTAGCTTCTTCCTGTGACTCAGAATTTAATTTTTCATTGAGAATTTGTCAATTCTGAAAAAAAAAAAAAGACAACAGTAGCAGCAATATGCATTCCTATCAAGCTGTTTACCTCTCCTATCATGAAGGGAAACCAAAAATACGAAAGAATTTGCATCCTTCCCTTTGGGGGACCAACAGGTGGAGGAGCACATTTTGTGGCTTTACCCCAGAGTTCCCCAATGACAAATGGAGCTATTCTTGCACAACTACAGTTTGCTGCTTGAGTTTAGTGCATGAGTGGACTATACAAAAAAGAAAGGTTGACTCCTCATGGGTGTCTGTACACACACACACACACACACACGTGCACACACACACAAAGGCACCCATCTTTCATCTCATGAAGATGGTGGGAATGGCAGCCACAAGCTCCAAGACCAAAACGTAGGGACAGAAAAGACTGTGAGTGGTGTAATGGGCAATGGGGGAAGCGTCTTTGAGGAAACTGACCTGTGCAGTATTCCACTGTGACATCCTTGAAGTCAGAAACTCCATCCTAATTGTGCTGGCTGATTAGAAGAAAGAAGCAGGAAGTGAACGAGACTTGAGTCTTGAGCAACATAGTCAAGTCATGCTGAATTAGAGATCTTAATCTGCTCCAGTGACCTTAGAAGAAACAGAAGCTTTCATACTGGCTACTTCTAGACTCCCGTGATAGACTCCCACAAGGTTTCCAACTGTGTTGATCACCATCCTAAAGAACTCCTTGAAAGTCATAGAGAAGTCCAAGTTCTGGGGAAGACATTTTAGTCCCTTTTCCCTACCGTGCACTCTGATAGCATGACCATCTTTATCTTTTCTTTTCTTTTTTTTTTTTAAAGATTTTATTTATTTATTCATGAGAGACAGAGAGAGAGAGGCAGAGGGAGAAGCAGGCTCCCAAGGAGCAGAGAGCCCGATGCGGGACTCGATCCCAGGACCCCGGGATCATGACCTGAGCCGAAGGCAGATACTTAACCATCTGAGCCACCCAGGCACCCAACCATCTTTATCTTTTCTTTGAGTCTGCTATGAAGCAAAACTTCCAGACAGGAGCTATGGACACATCATCAGTGCTGCTGGTCTAGAATGGCAAAGAAATCTGAGATGCCGTAGCAGTGATGAGAAAGAAATTATGTGGCTGCCTCCCCAGACTTTGATGATATCTCTCTGGATGCCAAAAAGAAGAACATGATGAATAAGTACCTGTACTAGGTTGTCCTGAGGCTCTGGCTCTGAGCCAAAGTTGGTAGGTCTAAGGAGTTGAACTAGATTCCCTTTTCTTTAGGCCAACTCTGCATCATCCTCCCATGTCCATCTGATAGGGCCCAGTGTCTCCGTGTCAAAGAAGAGGTCTTTGTGTAGAAACTCCAGTTTATGTGCCACTTCTGCTTCCTGCTTCATGTGGATCAATAGAACTCCTCGTCACTGTACTATGAAAGAGTACTCTGCTGCCCATCTAAAGGTAAGCAAACCTTTATATAAGCCCACAGAGTGGGCCCTGGTGGTCCTGAATTACTAGCAGCAGTGGGGTGTGCCATCAACTGTCTAGCAAGAGCTATCATATCAACAATTTCACAAATACAGTTTTGGCCTCTGTGTGCCAGATGTCTGTCTTAGGCACTGGTAAGACAGCAGAGCAGTGTAGGGCCCAATCCCAACCTCAGTGATGACCAACGAGAGTCAGCAGGAGATGCAGTCATGGGACTAATATGACGTGGGTATGGGAACACATAAAGGAGGCTTCGAAGGCATGCATGGGGATCTAAAAAGGCTCCCCTTGAACTCACTCCAAAAACTGGGCAGAAGTAAGCCGAGCAAAGGTTGGGGGGGGTGGGGTACTCAGTGGGGAGCTAGGCAACAGCCAGAGCAAGGCCCAGATCTGTTTCAGCAAATCCTCCAGTGGTTCCCTCACAGGAGCACGAGTGTGGGAGGTTGTGCTGAGAAATGAGGCCGAGGCTGGGGAGGTCAGCAGGACCCAGGTTGTGCAAGGCCATCCAGAAGTTTAGAGGCTATCCCAGTGACGATGCTTCCATTGAAAGGATTAAAGCTGATTCACGCTTTAGACTTTGGCAATGCAATAGATGTGAAAGATAGTGTTTTCTAGAGTGTGTTTCTGAAGAACCTGGTCTTACAAGATGTTTCACCAGAAAGGCTTCTGAGCCAAGTAAGTTTAGGAGCTGGCATTGGGTCTCTCTCAAAGATTCATGACTACAGAAGGCCACAAGAAACCTTGCGGCAAAATATGTTTAGCTGTGTTTAACCTAGTAATGCCCAAATCCTGTTATGTCCCACAAAATGAAACATATTAGAGAAAGCTCTGTGTAGGAAAGAGTAAAAATCGAAGACAGTTCCAAATCCACTTAAGTTCACAGTGATTACCTGGGCAGGCAGCCTCTGACAAAGACTGCACTCCCTTTACCATCTGCTCTGCCGGAATCACCAGCACCCAGGGCTCAGGCTCTTCCCCAGCCTTCCCAGGGTGTGTTGAGTTCTGACCTTGGAGTAGTCAGGAAGTAGCAACACAAAGGCACAAATCGCAGAAGGGTGAATTTGACTAGCCTTTCTCAGCATTAGCACTTCAAGTATGTTATATTAATATCTATCTCTATACAATAAAACCTCCTTATTAGGGGAAAAGTTCAGCTTTATTTAACTGAAAATCTTAATTATGTAATATCTTTAAAGATACAGAGTTTCATTACTTTTGAAGCATGTGCTCTGTCTAGTCGAACAATTACTGGCCTGTTGGAGTTATTTTAATGAGCTCCTTCTACCTAGTAAACCAACTGTATGTAGGTGACATACCCCATGGACTAGGGGTGTTTCAAAGTATGTTTCCTTAAGTATTTAAATATTTC